GAGAGCGACATCTTGAAAACGACCCGCCCTCAATCCGTGAAGCTCTCGCAAATGTTTAAAACGAATTTGCGCGGCCCTCAGGAGAGAGCCACATTTTGAAAGCCACCCGCCCTCAATCCGTGAAGCTCTTGCAAATGTTCAAAACGAATGTCCGCGGCGCTAAGGCGAGAGCCAAATTCTGAAAACCAACCGCCTGCACTCCGTGGAATTCTTGCACATGTTTAAAGCGAGTATGCGCGGTGCTAAGGCGAGAGCTACTGTTCTCAGGTTTCAAGCTTCAGGGTCATAGATGGCGAGGAAGTCTCAGGCGAAACGCCCGGCCCGCCCTAAAAACAGGCCTCGGGGTGCGACAGGGAGGAGTTAGATAAAAGGAGGAGGAGGAGGAGGAGGAGGAGGAGGAGGAGGAGGAGGAAGGGAAAGACGAGGAGGAGGAGCAGGAGGAGCAGCAGGTGGAGGAGGCAGGAGGAGGAGGAGGAGGCAGCAGGAGGAGGCAGGTGGAGGAGGAGTAGCAGGAGGAGGAGGATGAGGAGAGGAGGAGGAGGAGGAGGTAGGAAGAGGAGGAGGATGAGGAGGAGGGAGGGGAGGGGAGGGAGGGGAGGGGATGGGGAGGGGAGGGGAGGGGGGGGAGGGAGGGAGGGAGGGAGGGAGGGATTCGGGAGGGAGGGAGGGAGGGATGAAGAAGAAGAGGATGATGGAGAGGAAGAGGGGAGAGGGAGAGGGAGAGGGAGAGGAAGAGGAGGAGGAGGAAGAGGAGGAGGAGGAGGCGGGCGGCGGAGGCGGAGGAGGCGGAGGAGGCGGAGGAGGCGGAGGAGGCGGGCGGAGGAGGAGGAGGAGGAGGAGGAGGAGGAGGAGGAGGAGGAGGAGGAGGAGGAGGAGGAGGAGGAGGAGGAGGAGGAGGAGGAGGGAGGAGGAGCAAGGAGGAGGAGGAGGAGGAGGAGGAGGAGGAGGAGGAGGAGGGGAGGAGGAGGAGGAGGGAGGAGGAGGAGGAGGAGGAGGAGGAGGAGGAGGAGGAAGTAGGAGGAGGGATGCCCAGACATTCGGCGCCTCGAAAGAATCGAGGCGGAATGTCAGAGATCAGCCCGAAAAAGGTTCATAAAAACATCAGGCCTTGGAGACGGGGTCGATAGGCTTGGGGCCCCGCGTCGTACTGGCCTGGGCCGCCGTGCTGGCCTGGGCCGCCGTGTTGGCCTGGGCCGCCGTAGCCACTTTGGCTCAAGCCGTCGCCTGGGCCGCCGCTCGCGCGCGCGCGCGGAGGCTGCGCCGTCGCGCGGCAGGCGGCGGGCCGCGCCGCCCCCCGCGGGCGTTCCCGCCGCGGGTCGGCCCCAGGGGGCGCCAGCAGGGCTCCGAGCTCGAGCTCGGGGCTCGTCGGGGCCCTGCCCGCAGGCAGCGGGGCGCGCCGGGTCCTGCCGGCATGGGCACCGCGTGCTCGGCGCCTCCAGTGGACGCGGGCACGGAGATCAAGGTAACGGCTGCCGACGCGGCCCCCGGCGCCGAGCAGCCCGCGGGCGTCGGCGTGGCCGCCGACGCATCGACCGGCAAGTCTTCGGATCCGATCACGACCAACGCGTCGAACGCGTCGAACGCGTCGAACGGCATTGCGAGCGGCCTGTCGAACCGCCTCAAGGCGAGCCTGGAGGCAAAGGCCTCGGCCCACGTCGAGAAGCACACGGGGAAAACGCCCGAGGAGTGGAGGGCGAAGGCGACCGACCTCGTGACAGACTTCCGGGCGGACTGGAAGAGCGCGGTGTGCAAGCAGATGGACGCCGCCCTGGCGAGCACCGACTACACCCAGCTGAACCGGCTGCTGGACGGCGCGGGGCCGGCCTTCTTTCTGGAGTCGAACAGCGTGCCGGAGTCCATGCAGAAGGCTGCACAGAAGGTTCAGGAGGAAAAGAAACACACAGACACAATTAATCCTCGATTCCCCAGAAAATATGGGAAAATATGGGAAGTGGGGGGGAAGACAGAAACCCAGAAAATATGCGAAAATATGGGGAATATTTTTATTTGTGTGTATCTATTTGTGTGTCCTGGGGCCCCTCCAAAGGTGGCCCAGCGGCAGCTGGCGGACGCCATCGCCTCCGAGGCGGACAAGCAGCTCAAGGGCGCGCTGGTCGCCGCCGAGCGGCTGAAGGCCACCGACCTCCCCGAGTTCGCGGAGGCGGTGGACCTGTACAAGAGGGTGCGCAAGCTGCCCGAGGGGTGGGATGTGGCCAAGATGGTGCTTCAGCGGGAGGGGAAGTTCGCGGTCGCCAAGCTCCCGGTGAGCGACCCGGCGGTCATTGCCAAGTTCCAGCGGCTGCTCGACGCGACTCACCGAACGGTGTACACGCGGGACCGCATGGGGCAGGCGGTGCCGGAGCGGCTGGAGGTGGTGAGCGTCACCACGGTGACCAACGACCAGCTGTGGGGGGAGTACATGGCCCGCCGGGAGGGCGTCCGCCGCGAGATCGAGGCTGACCCCGCCGACTTCCAGGTGCACCCGGTGGACACGATGGTCTCGACCGATGTCGCGGACGTGAGGCCCGGCGAGCCCATGGAGAGCATCGTGGAGGCCCTCGCGACGGACTTCGGGGAGCCGATGCGGGCGGACTGCAACGAGGTGTTCCTGTTCCACGGCACCAGCGCCATCGCCGCCAGCAAGATCACCACCGAGAATCTGAGAACGAATCTCGCTGGCTCCAACGCTGGCACGCTGTATGGGCGCGGGGTGTACCTGGCCGAAAACGGCAGCAAGAGCGACGAGTACACGCGGCCCGGGGCAGGCGGCGAGCGACACCTGCTGCTCTGCCGGGCCGTCCTGGGGCGGGTGCTCTACTCCGACGCGGTGGCCACCAACCCCCGCGAATGCGAGGACGCCTGCGTCAAGGGCAGGTTCCACTCCGTGCTCGGGGACCGGAGGAAGGCCCGCGGCACGTTCCGCGAGTTCGTCGTGTTCGACAAGGAACAGGTGTACCCCAACTGGATCATCACGTACAGGAGGAAGGACGCGGCCCCAACCGACCCGTCCCGCACCTTCCAGGTGGTGTGTCCGAAGGGCGCGCAGGGCACGGTCCTGCAGGTCAAGGCGCCGGACGGCAAGCTGCTGCATGCGTTGGTGCCGCAGGGCTGCAAGGCCGGGGCAAAGTTCACGGTGCAGTACTGAGCATCCTCGCGGACTAGCGGGCTCCATTCGAGCGCCGAGAGTCCGAACACAAAAACAGGTTTGGGGGCCCACGCATTGAACACATCGGAGCGCCAGATGTCTGGCTGCGGCAGGCTCGTTCCGTGTCGACGACGCGGCGACCACCCCGAGCGCTGGCGTGTATGGCTGAAGGCCAGCAGTGGCTTAGACTCGGCCGATGTCGAGCCATCTGCGCACTCGGGAAGCTGCGATCGTTCAAAGTTGAGGGATCTACTCAGGGCCAGAAGGCAGCGCAAAGGTCACCATGACAGGAGCCTGCCGCAGTTGGCACCGTCGACCTTCAGGGGCAACGATCTGTGGGACAGGCTCCTCCTCCTCCTCCTCCTCCTCCTCCTCCTCCTCCTCCTCCTCCTCCTCCTCCTCCTCCTCCTCCTCCTCCATCCTTCAACGATAGGGGGGCGTACATCGATCCCGAATCGCCCCTGGGTCGCCGATAGGGGCCTGATAGCCCACCCCGGGCCAGGAATCTGCGGTTCCTCTATCGGGGCCCATCGCCGATCTGGCGGCGATGTGGTCCCTTCTACAGTCGGGGCCCTGAAGAAGGAACCCTTTTCGTTGGGGAGGGGCTCGGTGTTCCTTGAAGGTTTGACAGCTTGCCTCAGGCTTTCCCTATGTTTTCGACGGGGAATCAGAGGTTACCTTATGGAAAAAAGGAGCCTCGTTCCTTATTTGGGGTTCCTGAGGTCAACGCCCCGACTGTAGCGTTCCCCCTTCACCATCCCAGCGCGTCGCCCCGAGCAGCTTCTCCATGGCACCGGGGCCGCCCGAGGGCGCCCCCGGGCCGAGACTTGCCAAAATCCTGCCGTCGCGGCTTCAAAATCTCACCAGGGTGACGGTGACGGTTGTGTGTGTGTGTGTTGGGGGGGTGCTGGACCCCCCCCCTTACAGGGTCCGGTTTGAATAAGGAACACTTACACCTTAGGCGATGCTTAAGAAAACCTAAGTTTTCGTCCAGAGTCTCGATTATTCTTAACTTTTCAATGTAACCCCCCAGATTTTCATAGAAGTTCTGGGTTTCATTCAATTTCTGAGACTATGAATTTCTTAACCCATGATTTCTTAAGCATTTCGCAGGGTGTATTTTTCAGAAGGGGCTCGGTCGTTCCTTTGGTTTGCATGCGTGCCGCTGCCTTTTTTGCGCCGAGCCCTCCTGGTGTTCCTTCGGACTTCCTGGACTCACTTGGAAAGAAAAGGGGCTTCGTTCCTTATTTGTCGTTCCTTAGGTCAAGCCGAATATTGTACATGCCGGTGCCCGAAAACATTGCTGCTCAAAGGTATGCTGTGACTCTCGCATGCCTCCCCGCCAAAGTGTTACAGTTGCCGGGCCCCCCCCGGGTAACGACTGGTACCGGACATAACGGTAAAAAACAATATCAGGGGGTCTGGCTACGGTAGGCTCGTGTCGTGGAGACCGGCGGCAACTCCGCTAGTGGCGTTCAACGTTGAAGGCCGACGGCGACCCAGAAACGGTCGATGCTGCACGATGTTACGCTTCGGACACGGCCGACTGTTCAAGGCTGAACGATCCCCGCGGTGTCAGGAAACACGACTGGTCTGCATGACGCGAACGCGCGGTGGCTGGCGGGGGAGGAGGAGGAGGAGGAGGAGGAGGAGGAGGAGGAGGAGGAGGAGGATTTGGCCACGCTGCAGGAGGAGGAGGAGGAGGAGGAGGAGGAGGAGGAGGAGGAGGAGGAGGAGAGAGGAGGAGGAGGAGGAGGAGGAGGGGGAGGAGAGGGGGAGGAGGAGGTAGGAGGGAGGAGGAGGAGGAGGAGGAGGAGAAGGGGGAGGAAGGCCTGCCCCGCCCCCGGCCGTGCAGGCGGGGGCCTCTTCGGCGCCGCGCCGGCCTCGGGCGGAGGCCTCTTCGGCGCCGCGCCGGCCGCGGGCGGGGGCCTCTTCGGTGGCGGCGGGGGCCTGTTCGGCAAGTGAGGCGCGGGGGCAGGCCCGCGTTTCGCAACGAGTCCGCGACGGACTGCGAAGCCACCGCCCTCCTCCGCCTCCGCCTCCGTCGCTTCCTCCCTTTCCATCCTCTCCCTGTCCCTCCTCCTCTTCCTCCTCCTCCTCCTCCTCCTCCTCCTATTCCACCTCCTCCTCTTTCTTCTTGTGCGTGGATCGGGCATAGGCTGTCCAGGTTCTGCGTTCTTGTGGAGGGGACGTCACGCACTGCGTAAAACTCGAACTCTTACGACCTGAATACAGGCGAAGCGGGACTAGAGGGGTGAAAAGAAGCGGAAAAGCGGAGAAGCCCGCAAGGGCGGGAGTATTAGATCGCGGTGATGGTAAGGAAGTTCACGCTGGTTCCACCACCACTGCTCGCCCACACCCCCTCACCATATGCAAACATTACATCCTCCCTTTGTGTGGCGTGTGCGCGATAAGGGCAGTGCAGGGCCGATTTAGAATGTGCGCCAGTGGATCTCCCTGAATACACTAAAGGGGGGGGGAGGTCCAGAACCCCCCCCCCCCTCCCCCCCTTAAGGGGGGGGGGGTCCCGAACCCCCCCCCCTCCCTTGAAGGGGGGGGGGGTCGGACCCCCCCCCTTCCCCCCCTTGGCGCTGGAAAGGGGGGGGGGTTCGGAGCGGTGTGCTTCTCTGGATCCACCAAGTAGAAGAAGAGCAGGAGGAGGAGAGGGGGGACGCGGACGACGACGACGATGACACCCTGCGCCCGAATTCTTCTAGCTCATCGCACCAGAGAGCTCTGAATCGTGATTCGGCTACACCTCGGGTAGCAGACCTCCATACTTCAGATTAGCACTGCCGATTATTTCATGTTCAATGATGTGCTTTCCTCTGTGGCTTGCCCACATATCGAGTTAAATCATAAAGACGACGACGACGGCGAGGTGGAGCAGGATGAGACGGATGAGGCGAGGGAGGCTTGTCAAATTGCGTTCGCGTGTCTACGGTGGATGCGTCTGGACCCCGGGAGGTGTCTTCTCGCCTGCTCGAGGTCTGCAACGTTCTTGCGCCTTCGGGGGCTCTCCTCGTCGCCGCGGCTGGACGCGGCTCGACAGATTGGTGCGTCTGGACCCGGGGAGACGTCTCCTCGCTTGTTCCAGGTGTGAATGTTTCTTGGGCTTCGGAGTCTCTCTGTCGTGTGCGTGGGGGAGGGCGGGGGGGGGGCTTTTCCTTCCCGTGCCGGGGAGAGGGGAGGGGAGGGTAAAACGACGCGAAGATCGGGACAACATCGGATCGGGATAACTCGAAATCTTTGAGAATCGGCGGGTTTGGAGGATGTATTGGGCGCCGCGGCCGCTCCAGAGCGTTCCGGAACGCTCTGAGAGCGCTCCGGAACGCTCTGGAGCGATTTATCCCGATCCTAGCCCTGTTTTAGAGGGGAGGGGGGGGGCACGGGGTGCACCTCTTTGAGCGGACGGAAGCTCGAAGAGGCGAGAATGCGAACATCTGTCAAACACCTGACGGACAGGTCTAACGTTCCGTCCTCCCCGGGCCTCGATGGGCGCTCCCTTGGAGGCCTCTTGGGCCGTCCTGGGGGCCTTTTGGCCATCTTGGGCAAGAGAAAAGACATCCGGGTTCAGGGGGGGATGCTCCTCCTCCTCCCGCGCGGAAGGGGGAAGACAAACGAAAAATCTGAGTTCCAGGGGGGGTGTGCTCCCTCTCCGTCGCGCGGACATGGGAAGAGAATACATGAGTTCTGGAGGGGGAGGGGCTTTCCTTCTCCGTGCGCGGAAGAGAGAGAGAGAGAGAGAGAGAGAGAGAGAGTACGCGAAACGTCCGAGTTCTAGGGGGTGGGGGTCACCCGGCGCGCGAGAGGGGACGAGAAACTTAGGGGGTGCTCCTCCTCCCCTCCCCGCGCGGACGGGGGAAGAACTTAGCCTGGCGAAGAACCCAACCATATGCAGGCAGTTGTCAGTACCGCAGCTGCGGGTTTCATCTTCAGTGGAACTCCCCATAGGACCACGGAGCGTGTGAGGGGTGTTCCGAGATGGGTGCCACTGGGGCATTCGGTGAAGCTCCCGATGGGGACATGAAACACGCGCGGGGCGTGCCGATATGGGTGGCGGAAACGCATGTGGGGGCCGCCACTGGGGCCTCCAGTGGAGCTCCCTATGGGTCCCCGAAACATGATGCTGCTGCGGGGGGGGTGCCGGGATGGGTGGCAGAGACGCATGTAAGCGCCGCTACTGGGGCCTTCGGTGGAGCTCCCTATGGGGCCACGAAGCGCGTGAGGGGTGTACTGGGATGTGTGGCGGGGACGCATGTGAGCGCCGCCACTGGGGCCTTCGGTGCAGCTCCCTATTGGGCCACGAAGCGTGTGAGGGGTGTGCCGAATTGGGTGCGGGTGGTGACGCATGCGGGCGGTGCCACTGGGGCCTTCGGTGGAGCTCCCTATGGGGCAACGGAACCTGTTGTTGTGAGGGGCGTGCCGGGATGGGTGGCGGGGACGCATGTGAGCGCGGCCGCTGGGGCCTTCGGTCAGGCTCCCTATGGGGCCACGAAATGTGTGAGGGGTGTGCCGAATTAGGTGGGTGTGGGTGACGCCTGTGAGCGCCGCCACTGGGGCCTCCGGTGGATGATGGGGCCACGAAACCTGTGAGGGATGTGCCGAAATGGGTGTGCGGGACGCATGCGCATGTGAGCGCCGCCGCTGGGGTCTTCGGTGGAGCTCCCTTTGGGGCCACGAAACGTGTGAGGGGTGTGCCGAATTGGGTGTGCGTGACGCATGCGGGCGGCAGCACTGGGGCCTTCGGTGGAGCTTCCTATGGGGTCACGAAGCGTGTGAGGGGTGTGCCGAATTGAGTGTGCGTGACGCATGCGGGCGGCAGCAGTGGGGCCTTCGGTCAGGCTCCCTATGGGGCCACGAAACGTGTGAGGGGTGTGCCGAATTGGGTGTGAGGGACGCGTGCGGGCGGCAGCACTGGGGCCTTCGGTGGAGCTCCCTATGGGGCCACGAAGACGTGGAGGGGTTGCCGAAGCGTGGTGTGGCGTGCCGCAATGCGGGCGGGAAGCCTGGGGCTTCGGTGGGGGCTCCCTATGGGGCCACGAAACGTGTGAGGGGTGTGTGCTGAATTGGGTGTGCGTGACGCATGCGGGCGGCAGCACTGGGGCCTTCGTCAGGATACCATATGGGGCCACGAAAGCGGTGTGAGGGTGTGCGGAATTGGTGTGCGTGACGCATGCGGCGGCAGCACTAGGGCGCTAGGGCCTTCGGTGGGGCTTCCTATGGGCCACGAAACGTGTGAGGGGTGTGCCGAATTGGGTGTGCGGGACGCATGCGGGCGGCAGCACTGGGGCTTTCGGTGGGGCTCCCTATGGGGCCACGAAACGTGTGAGGGGTGTGCCGAATTGGGTGTGCGGGACGCATGCGGGCGGCAGCACTGGGGCCTTCGGTTGGGCTCCCTATGGGGCCACGAAACGTGTGAGGGGTGTGCCGAATTGGGTGTGCGGGACGCATGCGGGCGGCAGCACTGGGGCCTTCGGTGGGGCTCCTATGGGGCCACGAAACGTGTGAGGGGTATGCCGAATTGGGGTGTGCGTGACGCATAGCGGGCGGCGCACTGGGGCCTTCGTTGGGCTCCCTATGGGGCCACGAAACGTGTGAGGGGTGTGCCGAATTGGGTGTGCGTGACGCATGCGGGCGGCAGCACTGGGGCCTTCGGTCAGGCTCCCTATGGGGCCACGAAACGTGTGAGGGGTTTGCCGAATTGGGTGTGGGTGACGCATGCGGGCGGCAGCATTGGGGCCTTCGGCGGAGCTCCTTATGGGGCCACGAAACGTGTGAGGGGTGCGCCAAAATGGATGATGATGACGATGATGATGGTGTGAGGAGGGAGGAGGGAGGAGGGGGAGGAGGAGCGGGAGCGGGAGCGGGAGCGGGCGCTGTCTCTTCAAAACGAGGACCCAACACCACAGGATGGTTGGGAAAAAGACATCCGAGTGCGGGAGAGGGGGGGGGATGTTCCTCCACTGCCCGTGCGGAAGATGAAGAGAACAAAGCAGGGTTCTGGTGCGTGTGTGTGTGTGTGTGTGTGTGTGTGTGTGTGTGTTTGTGTGTGTGTCTGTTTGTGTGTGTGTTTGTGTGTGTGTGTCTGCTTGTCTGTCTGTGTGTGTGTCCTTCTTCTCTCCCCACGCGCAGAAGGGAAGAGGAAAGGAACCAGAGTTCTGGGACAGGGGGGGGTTCTCCTTTTCCGGAGCGCGGAAGGGGAACAGAAACATGAAGTCCGAGTTTTTTTGGGGGGCTGCTTCCCCTCTCTCCGCGCGGAAGGGACCCGCTATGCCTCCCGCCTGACGGATCGGTCCGCAGTTCAGCTGCTGTCTGTTTGAACAGGAAAACGGAGACATAGGTGTGTATTCATATGTATGTACATATATCTGTTCATATGCACATATATGTACACATCCCCACACATACATATATATATATATTACATCTATGTGTTTATATATACACGCATGTAACTATGTATATATGCGTATGTGTGTGTGTGTTTCGGTCAATCGCTTGTGCCGAGGAGAATAACAAGTCAGGCCGGAAGGCAATTCGAAGAGGCGTTCTGAGGCCAGACGTCTGCTGCCAGCGGATCCTCGGCGCCGATCCTTGGGCGTCCTGCCGTGGACGGCCTGCTCGAAGGCTCCGCTCCTCCCTCCGCCAGGCCTCCAGCGATCCCCCCGCCGCGATGTAGGCCGCCGCGCCAGCATGCCTCCGCGAGTGTGGGGGCCCGAGCTCGGCCTGACGGTGTTCCGTCGAACACCCGACGCCACGCCTTGCGGTCCCCGTCCTGCGAGATCGGAGGCAGGAGGTCGAGGGAACCCGCACCCTGACACGAGGCTCTGAGCACCGCCCTGGTCGCTGCCCACGAGACGACGATGCCCTGGTTGGCACCCGTCTTGACCTTCTTCCCGCGCTCTCTCCTGCCCAAGGTGAGTCCAACCTCGCCATCTGGGCCATCTGCCACGTTTGACATC